GGTGATGTGATCCCTGTGTAGGGCCAGCTGTTTCTTTCTGGAGATGGGACTCTATTCTTTGAAAGAGTTTATTGCAAAAGAGCTAATAGAAAATGAGAAAGAACCACTGGAAATGAAACTGTGTTTGAAATAGAAACTGAAGTAGAAACTTACACTATAAAGCCAATGAATTCTCCTGGCCCAAGCTTTCTCAATCTCGGCACAACTGACATTTGGGGTGAGGAATTCTCTGAGGTGGAAGGCTATTCTGCACATTGGAAAATGATCAGCAACAACCGTGGCCTCGACTTGCCAGTGTGTCCCTTATGCCTGTGATGACAACTGGAAGTATCTCCGTACGTGACCACATGTCCTCTGAGATAGAGAAGCAAGCTTCTCCTGCTCTCCATTCTGAGAACCTCTCTCTCACCAATAGAAAGATGCAGAGATAGTCAATATGATAATAAATAAATTTAGAGAATAATTAAGATGTTCTAATACCCTACTAACAAGATTTCACAAAGAGAGAATATATAAAATGGAAGGGAGGTTGCTAGCAAAAAATTAAAAAATAGTTGCAGATAAGAATGAAAAGTCATCTAATGTTCAACACAATCTATGAAAAAAATACCCATTATACGATACGTCATTACGGGATTTCAGACTACTAAGGATGATGGCAAGATTCCAGAAAGAATAACAGGGCAGAAATGGGGTGGGAGCGAGAAGGGCAGTTCAGTAGTAACACTAGAAGTAAAGATGGGAACAATGAGTTTATGGTGTTGTGGGAAACTGAACTCGAGTTATCAAGAATAAGAACAGAATCAAGACATTTTTCAGTCTCGGAAGTAGGTACTTTAAATCTTTTTTCCTAAGAACCCTTGGAGTGAGCCCCAGGAGTCTACACTTCTTCAACATAAGAGTAAATTAACAGTCACATGTTTGGGCATTAAAAGATATAAATGGACATTTGATTGATATGTTAAACAATCTGAATAAAATTTAGGTTATATATATTTTTAAAAAGTGGAAAAGCAAGACTATTATTAGCTCCAGGAAGAACAGGAAATTTTCCAGTGAAGTGTTATTATGGCATTGACTCAGCAATGTAGTATGCATATTTACATTGTAAGGATGATGTAAACCCTAATTATTGTTTATTGACTGCTTTGTCAAGGGCGGAGGCAAAGTGGTGGTGATGATGGTGTGCAAGAGCTAGGTCCTTAAATGCCAAGTCAAGATGCCAAAAAATAATGTCTAAAGCGGAAAATCAAGAAAGATTGGTCCACAGGGCCAGGGAGATAGCTCAGTAGAATAAGTGCTTCCCTGGCAAGCGCAAGGGCCTGAGTGCAATTCCCCACTCTGAAAAAAAAAACAAAACAAACAAAGATTGGTCTAAGGAAATAAAGAACACAGCAGGACTGTGGGGATGCGAGGGTTAACCTACTGTAGGTGAGTGGGGAAGGGGGCAGCAAATACAGAATTTTGAGGATGTATCCTTGGGAAGGCAATATTGGTAGAACACAGCTGAGAATATTTATTTGAGCGGGTATCCACACCTATACTCTCACCACTCTCGGAGGCAGGAGCATGCAAGGTTGAGTGCAACCTGGGTGAGTTAGTGAGACCCTGTCCCAAAAATTAAAAAAAAAAAAAATTAAAACAGGGCTAAGAGTATAGATCAGCATGAAGGCCCAGGTTTAATACCCTAGTACTGAGGGAAAAGTAAAGATTTAAATGTGAATAATGGGTATTTTAAAAGAAATGCAATTGCACTTAACATTTCAGGAAAACATTGGCAATTGATCTATCCTGCCTTCTAATGTTCCTAAGTTTTGATTAGTTTAAACACTTGAGCATACCGTGGCTACTGAATTCCTTTCATATCTGAGGCTTTGCTCTTGTTATATTCACTTACATGTTCTGTACAATCTCAAAACAATTTGCTGCTGCCTAATGCACTCAGAGGCATACTATGAAGGAACACAATGGGATGCAGAATACAGATGTATTTCTGAGTTTACTTGGCCCGAGCCACTGCTGATGCTAGCAAAGTATGCATATCGAAGATAATGATGGCGGGTTTATCAGGGAAGAACACAGCCACTTAGAGCAGTCTGTGTGGAGCTCAGGCAGTGTCTGCAGGGAGCAGTTCTGTTTCCAAGTCTTGAGATGATGTGTAGAATGATGGTTATTTAACCCTTGTTTCTTTAAGGTCAGATTGCAGCTGGGCAATGAGTTTAGTAAAACTAACTTCCAGCCCCACAGGCTGCAAAAGCCACACACATGTCTGTCGCTAGGTGCCCTAGTCCCTTGCCATGTCTTAGAGAATACCTTTTCCTCCCGTGTACTTATAGAATATTAAAGTCCCCTTTTGGCACAAGTATATATTTTTCTGAAACCCTTAACCACTAACTCCAATTAGCCCACTTAAGTCTGCTAACCCTACTCAGAAGTATTTTTCTTCTTTCAAAAATGATGCCAGAATGGGCTGGGGAGATCGCTCAGTAGAATAAACACTTGCCTGGCAAGCGCAGGGTCCTGAGTTCAATCCCCGGTTTCGGGGGGGAAAAAAAAAAGATGCCAGGAGCTCTGAGACCTATCAAACATCATTTAGTTTTAAACATTTGGCCAGCTTCAAAATTCAGACAGGTGAACAAAGCCATTAGGACTGGTAGAAACATTGCTGCTATAAGGTTCTTACACTCGTTTTCTCATTTTAAAATCCAACATAAAGTTTCCTGCTTTTCTCTCAACTTGGCTTCTGTATTCTGTCTTGGAATTCATCTTCCGCTTTTGCAATGTATCCATAAACTCTTTATTTTTCTGAATCTCTCGGCTATTGATAAATCCTTTTTACCACCTGTGGGATCAGCCTCTCACAGGCCACCCCTCAAAGGGCAGATGACACTGACTTCGCCCTATGAGAGTGCATAAGGCAGCTAGCTAGCTCTACAGAGTGCCCCAACCATCCCCAGTGTGAAGTGGGAGTGATGAGAGGCTCCGTGTCCGGTATGTTGGAGAGGGTTGGGGAGGACGGCAGAGGGCGTACCAAGGTCTTCCCAGGACACTCCTTCTCGCGTCACTGTAGGACACTCTGTCCCTGGAGGGTGGGGTACGTTTTGTCTTTTCAAAGTAAATCAGAAGTATTTTTTTCTTTGCCAAGACTTAGAGTAACTACTATTCCATTTTATAGATGAACAAATTAAGCTCCAGGAGGTTTAAGAAACTAAAGTCATACAACTTTAAAAAATGGGTGGACAAAATTCAGGTTCTGACTTCAATTCTATTGCTTTCCTGTTGAAAATAGGCAAGGATAGGGTGTGTGATGTTGTGTGTGTGTGTGTGTGGCCCAGATCTGAAACAGATAGGTGTGTGCTTGTGTGCATGTGAACACTGAGTTATGTTAGCCCTCTTGATAGCTATTTCTCACAAATAACTGTCCCGTGTTATTAATAATGATGCTTAGAAATTCTTTTATCCAGAACTAACTTCTTTCCAAAAGAAGAGAGCTATGTAATTGTGTTTTAATTTTTTACAAATTATAAAATACTAGCTTAAATATACTTTTGTGTCATATTGTCTTATTCCAACCAATTTTATATGGCTGCCCAGAACACTTGTAAGTTTTGAGGCTGCATGTAACACTTAAGACGACCCATGGCAAACTTTATGCATGGGACAACCCGAGAGTGTCAGCCTGCATCAAATATTCAGTCCAGCTTGTAATCCTAGCGCTTAGGAGGCTGAAAACAGGAGGATTATTATGGGTCCCATCTGTGTAGTGAGACCCTGTATTAAATACATTAAAAAAAAAAATCAAAGCCTACTTCCTCATCCGAAATCAAGGGGTTCTGGGTGCAGGTGGAGGGCTGGCGCAGCCGCTGGGTATTTTTCAGCGGCTCCGAGGCTTCTTGAACAGAACAGCCCTCCTACCAGGTTTGGGAGCCACCTGCATCCCCTAGGGAGAGCAAGGCTGGACTCCGCCAGAGTCGTGGCAGACGTCGCAGGAAAGATCAATAGTCGCCCTTTCACCCGCTTTCTGATGATCAAACCACTCTGCTCCTGGTCGCAGGTATTTATGGTCGTGAGGCTGAACGTCAAGTCATAATCCAAACAGCTTTTTGGCCACGTGGCTCGCCGGGCACTGACCGCCGCGGAGGCGGACTCACACTTCTGCCCACTCCCGAGCAGGGACTTGCGTTGGGGAGAGCAGGAGCCACTCGCCGCGTCCGGGATCCCAGCGCAGCCCGCTCCAGGCGCCGGCCTCGCAGCCCTCGCCCGGACCCAGACTCCGCGCCGGGAGGTGGGCCCCGCGCGCCGCCTCGGCCCCGCCCACTCGGCCGGGTCGGAGCC